TATTTGTTATCCTTACTGTACATCTGGCTTCATTACCCCTGTGATTCATTACCATGTGCTATTTTTTATCCTTACTGTACATCTGGCTTCATCATCTATGAGCTATTTGTTATCCTTACTGTACATCTGGCTTCATCACCTGTGTGCTACTTGTTATTCTTACTGTACATCTGGCTTCATTACCGTGTGCTTAATTACCATGTGCTATTTGTTATTTTTACTGTACATCTGGCTTCCTTACCCGTGTGCTATTTGTTATCCTTACTGTACATCTGGCTTCATTACCGTGTGCTTAATTACCATGTGCTGTTTGTTATTCTTACTGTACATCTGGCTTCATCATCTGTGTGCTATTTGTTATCCTTACTGTACATTTGGCTTCATTACCCCTGTGCTTCATTACCTGTGCTATTTGTTATCCTTACTGTACATCTGGCTTCATAACCCGTGTGATTCATTACCGTGTGCTATTTGTTATCCTTACTGTACATCTGGCTTCATCATCTGTGTGCTATTTGTTATCCTTACTGTACATCTCGCTTCATTAACCCTGTGATTCATTACCATGGGCTATTTGTTATTCTTACTGTACATCTGGCTTCATCATCTATGTGCTATTTGTTATCCTTACTGTACATCTGGCTTCATTACCCGTGTGATTCATTACCATGTGCTATTTGTTATCCTTACTGTACATCTGGCTTCATCATCTGTGTGCTATTTGTTATCCTTACTGTACATCTCGCTTCATTAACCCTGTGATTCATTACCCATGGGCTATTTGTTATTCTTACTGTATATCTGGCTTTATTACCATGTGCTATTTGTTATCCTAACTGTATATTTGGCTTCATTACCCCTGTGCTTCATCAGCTGTGTGCTATTTGTTATCCTTACTGTACATCTGGCTTCATTACCCCTGTGATTCATTACCATGTGCTATTTTTTATCCTTACTGTACATCTGGCTTCATCATCTATGAGCTATTTGTTATCCTTACTGTACATCTGGCTTCATCACCTGTGTGCTATTTGTTATTCTTACTGTACATCTGGCTTCATTACCGTGTGCTTAATTACCATGTGCTATTTGTTATTTTTACTGTACATCTGGCTTCCTTACCCGTGTGCTATTTGTTATCCTTACTGTACATCTGGCTTCATTACCGTGTGCTTAATTACCATGTGCTGTTTGTTATTCTTACTGTACATCTGGCTTCATCATCTGTGTGCTATTTGTTATCCTTACTGTACATTTGGCTTCATTACCCCTGTGCTTCATTACCTGTGCTATTTGTTATCCTTACTGTACATCTGGCTTCATAACCCGTGTGATTCATTACCGTGTGCTATTTGTTATCCTTACTGTACATCTGGCTTCATCATCTGTGTGCTATTTGTTATCCTTACTGTACATCTCGCTTCATTAACCCTGTGATTCATTACCATGGGCTATTTGTTATTCTTACTGTACATCTGGCTTCATCATCTATGTGCTATTTGTTATCCTTACTGTACATCTGGCTTCATTACCCGTGTGATTCATTACCATGTGCTATTTGTTATCCTTACTGTACATCTGGCTTCATCATCTGTGTGCTATTTGTTATCCTTACTGTACATCTCGCTTCATTAACCCTGTGATTCATTACCATGGGCTATTTGTTATTCTTACTGTACATCTGGCTTCATCATCTATGTGCTATTTGTTATCCTTACTGTACATTTGGCTTCATTACCTGTGTGCTATTTGTTATCCTTACTGTACATCTGGCTTCATTACCGTGTGCTTAATTACCATGTGCTATTTGTTATTTTTACTGTACATCTGGCTTCCTTACCCGTGTGCTATTTGTTATCCTTACTGTACATCTGGCTTCATTACCGTGTGCTTAATTACCATGTGCTATTTGTTATTCTTACTGTACATCTGGCTTCATCATCTGTGTGCTATTTGTTATCCTTACTGTACATTTGGCTTCATTACCCCTGTGCTTCATTACCTGTGCTATTTGTTATCCTTACTGTACATCTGGCTTCATAACCCGTGTGATTCATTACCGTGTGCTATTTGTTATCCTTACTGTACATCTGGCTTCATCATCTGTGTGCTATTTGTTATCCTTACTGTACATCTCGCTTCATTAACCCTGTGATTCATTACCATGGGCTATTTGTTATTCTTACTGTACATCTGGCTTCATCATCTATGTGCTATTTGTTATCCTTACTGTACATCTGGCTTCATTACCCGTGTGATTCATTACCATGTGCTATTTGTTATCCTTACTGTACATCTGGCTTCATCATCTGTGTGCTATTTGTTATCCTTACTGTACATCTCGCTTCATTAACCCTGTGATTCATTACCATGGGCTATTTGTTATTCTTACTGTACATCTGGCTTCATCATCTATGTGCTATTTGTTATCCTTACTGTACATTTGGCTTCATTACCTGTGTGCTATTTGTTATCCTTACTGTACATCTGGCTTCATTACCGTGTGCTTAATTACCATGTGCTATTTGTTATTTTTACTGTACATCTGGCTTCCTTACCCGTGTGCTATTTGTTATCCTTACTGTACATCTGGCTTCATTACCGTGTGCTTAATTACCATGTGCTATTTGTTATTCTTACTGTACATCTGGCTTCATCATCTGTGTGCTATTTGTTATCCTTACTGTACATTTGGCTTCATTACCCCTGTGCTTCATTACCTGTGCTATTTGTTATCCTTACTGTACATCTGGCTTCATTACCCGTGTGATTCATTACCGTGTGCTATTTGTTATCCTTACTGTACATCTGGCTTCATCATCTGTGTGCTATTTGTTATCCTTACTGTACATCTCGCTTCATTAACCCTGTGATTCATTACCATGGGCTATTTGTTATTCTTACTGTACATCTGGCTTCATCATCTATGTGCTATTTGTTATCCTTACTGTACATCTGGCTTCATTACCCGTGTGATTCATTACCATGTGCTATTTGTTATCCTTACTGTACATCTGGCTTCATCATCTGTGTGCTATTTGTTATCCTTACTGTACATCTCGCTTCATTAACCCTGTGATTCATTACCATGGGCTATTTGTTATTCTTACTGTACATCTGGCTTCATCATCTATGTGCTATTTGTTATCCTTACTGTACATTTGGCTTCATTACCTGTGTGCTATTTGTTATCCTTACTGTACATCTCGCTTCATTAACCCTGTGATTCATTACCATGGGCTATTTGTTATTCTTACTGTACATCTGGCTTCATCAGCTATGTGCTATTTGTTATCCTTACTGTACATCTGGCTTCATCATCTGTGTGCTATTTGTTATCCTTACTGTACATCTGGCTTCATAACCCCTGTGCTATTTGTTATTCTTACTGTACATCTGGCTTTATTACCATGTGCTCTTTGTTATCCTAACTGTATATTTGGCTTCATAACCCGTGTGCTTCATCAGCTGTGTGCTATTTGTTATCCTTACTATACATCTGGCTTCATCATCTATGTGCTATTTGTTATCCTTACTGTACATCTGGCTTCATTAACCCTGTGATTCATTACCATGGGCTATTTGTTATTCTTACTGTACATCTGGCTTCATCATCTATGTGCTATTTGTTATTCTTACTGTACATCTGGCTTCATTAACCCTGTGATTCATTACCATGGGCTATTTGTTATTTTTACTGTACATCTGGCTTCATTAACCCTGTGATTCATTACCATGGGCTATTTGTTATTTTTACTGTACATCTGGCTTCATTAACCCTGTGATTCATTACCATGGGCTATTTGTTATTTTTACTGTACATCTGGCTTCATTAACCCTGTGATTCATTACCGTGTGCTATTTGTTATCCTTACTGTACATCTGGCTTCATCATCTGTGTGCTATTTGTTATCCTTACTGTACATCTCGCTTCATTAACCCTGTGATTCATTACCATGGGCTATTTGTTATTCTTACTGTACATCTGGCTTCATCATCTATGTGCTATTTGTTATCCTTACTGTACATCTGGCTTTATCATCTATGTGCTATTTGTTATCCTTACTGTACATTTGGCTTCATTAACCGTGTGATTCATTACCATGTGCTATTTGTTATCCTTACTGTACATCTGGCTTCATCATCTATGTGCTATTTGTTATCCTTACTATACATTTGGCTTCATCATCTATGTGCTATTTGTTATCCTTACTGTTCATCTGGCTTCATTAACCCTGTGATTCATTACCATGTGCTATTTGTTATTTTTACTGTGCATTTGGCTTCATTACCCCTGCGCTTCATTACCATGGGCTATTTGTTATTCTTACTGTACATCTGGCTCCATCACCTGTGTGCTATTTGTTATCCTTACTGTACATCTGGCTTCATTACCCGTGTGCTATTTGCTATCCTTACTGTACATCTGGCTTCATTACCCCTGTGCTATTTGTTATCCTTACTGTTCAGCTTGCTTCGTAACCTGTGCTTTTTGTTATTCTTACTGTTCATCTTGCTTCGTAACCTGTGTGCTATTTGTTATTCTTACTGTACATCTGGCTTCATCCAATGACCTGTATGCTACTTGTTATCTATTACCTTGTTATCTATTGTTGTCAATTTAATCTGCTGCTTATCCCAACATATCATGCATATATACCTCTCATCACTTGGTTGTTGTCACTCCAGCTTCATAATAACGTAAGAATATACATTGAAATGTTGCTATATGCAATAAACAAGAGGTTTTTTATCCATAAAGTTGAACGTTTTCTTCTAGAATGCAAAGCACCAGACGTATTGGCATATGCTTTAAGTTGATTATGTCCCTCAACAGACACAGCACTTTTATGGAAGTCAGTCGGAAGTCAAATATTCCTGACAAGGTGGACGTGGTTTTCTGTACATATTAACTGGCTAACGTGGGTAGATTGGACAATTTATGGTACCAGAAATTAAACATGTAAAACATGTTACAACCAAATTTATTCATAACATACCGTAGCTTTTAGTTTGTCGGCGGTCCATCTCTGCATGAGGTCTCCAATATTGACGACTATAGTGCCTTCAATTGGAATGACTGGCATGAACGCTCCAATTGGTGAAACAATCTGTGAATAGAAACAGTTTGAGTAGGATCTAACAGTGTAGAACGTAACCATGACAGTGTAGACCGTAACCATAACACTGTAGACTGTAACCATGACAGTGTGGACCGTAACCATGACAGAGTGGACCATAACCATAACAGTGTAGACTGTAACCATGACAGTGTAGACCGTAACCATGACAGTGTGGACCGTAACCATGACAGAGTGGACCATAACCATAACACTGTAGCCTGTAACCATGACAGTGTGGACCGTAACCATGACAGAGTGGACCATAACCATAACACTGTAGACCGTAACCATGACAGTGTGGACCGTAACCATGACAGAGTGGACCATAACCATAACACTGTAGACCGTAACCATGACAGTGTAGACCGTAACCATGACAGAGTGGACCATAACCATAACACTGTAGACTGTAACCATGACAGAGTGGACTGTAACCATGACAGAGTGGACTGTAACCACGACAGTGTGGATTGTAACTATAACACTGTAGACTGTAACCATAACACTGTAGACTGTAATCATGACAGGGTGGACTGTAACCATAACACTGTAGACTGTAACCATGACAGTGTGGACTGTAACCATGACACTGTAGAACATAACCATGACAGCGTGGACCGTAACCATAACACTGTAGACCGTAACCATGACAGTGTGGACCGTAACCATGACACTTTAAAGACCAAGAAAGCAGTGCCTGTGTGTAAGTGCTGATTATTATAAACACTTTGATTGAGGCATCATGACATGTGATCATCACCATCAACTACATACTCGCACAATACACACCTCCAGCCCACCACACTGGTCCTGAAATAGGAGGGTTACAGTCCCGTAGTCGCTGTGCTCGCCACACCTCAACTGGCCAGGCTTTACAGCTGAAGTTAAGAATAGACACATAAAGATAAGTCACACACGCAATAAGTCACAAACAACAAGTAAGAACGAAGCGTGATTTATGATATACTTAGTGAGAAAGACTGAGTATTCTGAAGTTGAGAAAAGTGATATTTTCACTGCACTGAACACAACACTTGATATTTCACTGCAGTGAAGATAACACTTTGACGGAACTGTTGTCATACAAGAGTTACCTCCCCTCAAATTGTCTCCTTTTACCGTCAGAGACTTGCCCGTACACAAACTGGTGACGTCGTTTTTACGTTAGTTCCACATTGACAAGGCAACATAATGACAAATGGTCATTTATGGAGTTAATATCGCTTCTTGCCGTTTGTTATTCTCTCGAAAATGCTTCATCATAAACTGCAATTTCTCGCATCAGAAAGTGGGAGAGATATGACAATCCGTATTTGGAGAAAAGGTACAGATAATAAAGATGGTGAAAATATATCCGGTAAATGCCAAACTTGACCCACCTGTTCGAAAAATGGACTTGTCCGACATTTCCGAGATTCTATTCAGGGAGTCAACATTATTTAATTTTGGTATATGTTTTTAAAGCTTGAACATTGTATCAACATCCTTAAAGAGGCTGTACATAATGTTGATATCTCATATAAGACATAAACGACAGCGCCCTTCATCATTTATTCTCCCTGCATTTATTTTTTTATTGTAATCAACTCAAACTCTTCGTTTATTTCTTAAATGATACACACAAGTGAAGACACATTCAAGGTTCATTTCACATGGGGAAGGGAACCCGCTTCCTCTGTGTAAGTAATATAGATGACGTAGGTACTGGGCAACCCCACCTGGACCAGACCTAGATCCTGAAAAGGCTCCATGTAAGCATTTTCAAGGCCTAGGTCTTGTCCAGTACCCCCATCATCTATACTACTGTGTAACAAGACAACGCATTATCTAATTGAACGTTCCATACATACAGGCCCCCGCAGGTAGAATAGGATAGTATAGGCTTCTTAGGGTACCGGGGCTCTTCTTGCTTCCAAAGCTTTGATGACAATTACGGAGAAAATTCCTATCCTGTAAACAGATTGCATATACACTGCTTTAGCTCATCGTATAAGCTCAACTCATCACCAAGAAAAGTAGCAATAGGGTGGGTGATAAGGTTGGTTGGTTTGCTTGTTGCTTGTCTAGCTATATGAGGGCGGTCTGTAAATAATCGAGTTTAGACCAGACACCCAAGTCATTCACATCATGAGCATCGATCCAGGCAATTGGGATAAGATGACATGCATCAATCAAGTCAGCCGTTTCCGTTAGTCGCCTCTTACAACAAGCATAGCCGCCTCTTACGGCAAGCATTGGTTACTGAAGACCTATTCTAACCCAATACACAGAGATGTGACAAAAAGCCACTAGGACAGCCCAATACACAGCCATATGGCACAAGCCATCAATCTCCCAAGGGTCAAACCTACCGACGACCCAATACACAGCCATATGACACTAGCCATTAATCTCCCAAGGGTCAAACCTACGGACAGCCCAATACACAGCCACATGACACTAGCCATTAATCTCCCAAGGGTCAAACCTACGGACAGCCCAATACACAGCCATATGACACTAGCCATCAATCTCCCAAGGGTCAAACCTACGGACAGCCCAATACACAGCCATATGACACTAGCCATCAATCTCCCAAGGGTCAAACCTACGGACAGCCCAATACACAGCCATATGACACTAGCCATTAATCTCCCAAGGGTCAAACCTACCGACAGCCCAATACACAGCCATATGACACAAGCCATCAATCTCCCAAGGGTCAAACCTACGGACAGCCCAATACACAGCCATATGACACTAGCCATCAATCTCCCAAGGGTCAAACCTACCGACAGCCCAATACACAGCCATATGACACTAGCCATCAATCTCCCAAGGGTCAAACCTACGGACAGCCCAATACACAGCCATATGACACTAGCCATCAATCTCCCAAGGGTCAAACCTACCGACAGCCCAATACACAGCCATATGACACTAGCCATCAATCTCCCAAGGGTCAAACCTACCGACAGCCCAATACACAGCCATATGACACTAGCCATTAATCTCCCAAGGGTCAAACCTACGGACAGCCCAATACACAGCCATATGACACTAGCCATCAATCTCCCAAGGGTCAAACCTACCGACAGCCCAATACACAGCCATATGACACTAGCCATTAATCTCCAAAGGGTCAAACCTACGGACAGCCCAATACACAGCCATATGACACAAGCCATTAATCTCCCAAGGGTCAAACCTACGGACAGCCCAATACACAGCCATATGACACTAGCCATCAATCTCCCAAGGGTCAAACCTACGGACAGCCCAATACACAGCCATATGACACTAGCCATCAATCTCCCAAGGGTCAAACCTACCGACAGCCCAATACACAGCCATATGACACTAGCCATCAATCTCCCAAGGGTCAAACCTACCGACAGCCCAATACACAGCCATATGACACTAGCCATTAATCTCCCAAGGGTCAAACCTACGGACAGCCCAATACACAGCCATATGACACTAGCCATCAATCTCCCAAGGGTCAAACCTACCGACAGCCCAATACACAGCCATATGACACTAGCCATTAATCTCCAAAGGGTCAAACCTACGGACAGCCCAATACACAGCCATATGACACAAGCCATTAATCTCCCAAGGGTCAAACCTACCGACAACCCAATACAAAGCGATATGACGTCAAGGATCCGGAGTGCCAGCTTGGTGCTCTGCTCAAAGAACTCTCCATAAGCAGCCTCCATTCCAGGCACACTGACTGGCCATTGCTGAAAGTAAAGTATAGTCTCACAGTAATCTACTGTACATCTACTTTGTATCACACTCATGTATTTACTGCACTTCACTTTTCATATGGCCACACCTTTACCTGTACCTTGTGCCACTTCTGATTTAGAGCCATGATTTTTGTATTCATTCAGTTTAGGCCTCAAAGACCATTATTATTAATATAGGTGATCATTCATAACTTTAATGTCGTGTCTTAAAAATTGCCAAAGTTGTCATGAATGCGTTCTAAACAGAGAACATGATGTGATCACCATCAAAAAACTAAAAAACACATACAATTTGATGACATTGAAAGCTATTACTATTTACATGTTTTATGTGGTAACATGACTTCTTTGTGTACTTACAATGTCAAGAGATCCTTCATATGACTTGTAGTTAAAAAATTCCTTGAGGTCTCCCGGCTTTGACACATCCAATCTACAGCATTAAATTTATGTTCCTAATGACAGTGACATAATCATCAAAATATAAAGCACTACTGAATGCCGGGTGGTTTAAAGTGACAACATTAACACCAGCTACCTTGTATTGGTCACAATAACGAACCATGTAACAACCTTGACCAGAGCAGGATCTGTGTTGCCAATTCTAGTTGGATGCCCTTTGGCCATGCACTGTCCATGACTGCATATGATACAACAAATGTATATGGGATATATAGTACACGTATATCATCACATCTATGCAGTTCATTTCCACGGTTCAACATTAAATAACCTTGAGTTACTTGAGGCAATGAAGTGGAACGTAGATAATAAATGCCATAATACATATAGTATATCATGCACGTAACAGACTTATGTATGTATTTCATTCCACTGTTTCACATTAAATATCCTCCACTTTTGGGGGCTTTGAAACATAATATAGGGACACAAGGCCTGCATCTTAGTATCATATACCGCAGATCTATGAAAGTAATATCAAGACACTCCACACAAAGTCGATACCACGTGCAGCGCTACAATAACACAGATGTGGGCATGATTTTGTAATGCCGTGTCTAAAGGGAATGTGTACATTGTTGTAGACAAAGCCTGGAGTAAATTGTTTGATAGGCATTACTTAGAAGTTGACGGATGACAAGATAGACACAATTTTATGGATTACAACTTCTTTAATACTGTGAAAAGCGACGTTTCGGTATAGATCCTTATAACGGTATAAGGATCTATACCGAAACGTCGCTTTTCACAGTATTAAAGAAGTTGTTATCCATAAAATTGTGTCTATCTTGTAAGCCTGGAGTGGTGACTCATACCGTTCCATTGCAAAAGCTTGGTATCCATGGAATCCACCGGTCCGAGATGCACATGTTGTCTTTACTGATGTCGGTTGGGTAAAGAAAGTTTTGTTAATCCTAAAGAACTCGTCAATCTGAAACAAATGGGAAAATCAGTTTGTAGATGTTTCTGTGCCATATATCTATCAGTAATTTTTGTTGAGGTAAGGTATAGTGCTTAAGAATATTAACATTTGTGGACTCACATTATACAGAACAGTAGCGAAAATATTCTTGAACACACACTGTATATATTTGGAGTGATAGAAGTGTGATATGCTGCCAAATGTATATACTAGTATTTTCATTTAAGGATTGACTTTGTGTAAGTTCATTTGATGAAGCAGCATAGAGTGGCCCTCACTCTTTGAATGTTCATATTCCAAAGAACGCACACAAAGGGAAAGTGAATCTTTATATATTTATTCTATTACTATTTTGTTACCTTGAAGTATGTAGAACAATACACAATCTTATGTAGTGACTGCATGTTTTCACTGTTGGGCATGCAACAACCAGCTGTATCGAGGAATGAAATAGTTCCTCAAGAGAAGAAGTGACATGAGCGTATGTAACATTGTTGTATGGTGACATATGTTGTAGTTTGTCTACAACATATATATTCAAATAATATCATTATTAGTAGAGTCAGGTCTGTTAAGAACTACCTCAGTAAGTCAGTCACAATTACAGCGCGTCGTAATACATTCACATTAAGCACAAGACACCAAAATGGCCGACACAATAAACGTGATGGGACAGATTTCAGAAGTTGTTAATAAACCTGTGACGATTACTTGTGTTAGTTGGCATTGATCAGTTGGCCGATCATTGAAATATGATGGTAGAAATGTGTCAAATAGATACTAAGGTAAATTCGTAGACTGCGGTAGACAGTCACTGTCAGTCAAGACACTGATCGAGTCGATACTATGATAGTTTAGATCTGCATTGCTTCGTTTTGTTTACTAGGATGGGTCGTAGCTTGGATATATGTGAACGATCTTAATACCAAACGCATGAATTTCTCAATATATGCACAATCATGAGTTCATGATCAAAGGGTCTTAACTATCAGAAACTACGCTTGTGTATGTATTCGTGCTTCGGAATTCTCAGGGGTTTCACCAGGAATGTGGAAGTAGTCCCTCAGTGTTTGTGTCATTTCAAGAACACAGTCTCGTGAAACACTATGGGCGTCAAATTGTGTCGTTAAAACGCTTACGAAAGTCGGTTTCTCGGTCATGTGATCGACCCTCGCCCGAAGACGGTAATCCATGTGAACTTCTCATTAAAAAATATATATGAGATTTAGAATGGTACATTTATTAATGAAACAAACAAGCCCAGAACCACCTATCCAACCTTCAATATAAATGAGGTAACGTTTAACCCCACTTTGAACAGTATCTCACTGACTAGAGTAAGCTTAATGTGTGAAGAAATCCCAAAGAATCGCACTAGATGTTTACTACTTGGGTTAATCCGTGACCACATGTATAGTGCTGGCATACAAAGAACTTGAATTAGGACGAAGCTTGCATTCGACCCAGCTGTCGGAGGGATTCTGCCACAAGAAAAGGGACGCTACTCTTACAGCGATTTGCGGTGCCTTAGATCACTGTGTCATCCTTCAGAGCTGATATGGCTGATTCGTGGTATTGAATGACAGATAGGGTACAAAAACAACAATTGTCACATAGTGTTAAATAAAAGCTCCTGACAAATTTGGAATGCGTACATATCAAAACACTGTAATTTGAAAGGTGTAAAGGTGCAACATGCACTGTACATTAGGGTAAGCCTTTAACATGAGTTATGAAAAGCTCTGTCTGCGAACAACATTGAAGACGTCCTAATCGTACGTGACTGAAGCAATTTAGGTAGGCCGAAGGTGTGTCATTTCAAGAATACAGTCTGGTGAAATACTATGGACGTCAAATTCTGTCGTTCAAACGCTTACGAAAGTCAGTTTCTCGGTCATGTGATCGGCCCTCGCCCGAAGACGGTAATTCATGTGAAGTTCTCATTAATTCTATTTTATGAATTTTAGAATGGTACATTTATTAATGAAACAAACCAGCGTCAGAACCACCTGTCCAACCTTCAATATAAATGAGGTAACGTTTAACCCCACTTTGAACAGTATTTCACTGACTAGAGTAAGCTTGATGTGCGAAGAAATCCCAAAGAATTGGGACCGAACATATATTTTCTCTCTGTGTGTAGTGACCCGTGAAGATCAAGGGTAGAACCCATGCTTGCCGTAAAAACCGACAATGCTTGACGTGAGAGGCTACTAACGGGATGGGGTGGTCAGGCTCGCTGACTTGCTTGATGCATGGCATCGTATCCTAATTCCGTTGGTCGATGCTCATGATGTGAATCACTGCATTGTCTGGGCCAGACTCGATTATTTACGTCATATAGCTGGAATATTGATGAGTGCGGCGTTAAACAACAAATAGAAAACAAACAAACGTAATAATGTTCATGAATCACACAATCATGTAACGGAATGAGCAGTGTATAAACGCATTAGATTTATATACAAATATTGGTATTTGGTGGTTATATTGAATTTCCGCACATTAACTACAAGGGAGATAACTCATTGACTTCTTGTGAAACAACTGGTTTGGGTAAATCCTGAGAGGGATATGAATAAGTATATTCAGACAATAACAATCAACATTGATATCTAAACTCGCCAAACCATAGCATTTAACAGATAAATATTGATATTTAGTGGTTATATTGGATTAATGCAAATGATTGAGTATTCTACATGCATCCTTGGGTCTGTTTACCCCAATGTAGAAGTTCAAATCATTCAAATATGTCATCAGAGATCAACAGTGTGTTCATAATCTATGTCTTGTCGGCGAGCTTGGAATTTTGGGCCACTAGGAGGTGGTATTAGTATCAGCTATACCTCAGTGAGTTAGTGTGCCAAATTATATGCATATAAGTCCTAGCACACTGTTTTATAGTTAAAAGATTTAACAGTGTAAACACACATTTAGGAAACTTGTTGGCCATCTTGTAATAGGCTGCCATCTTGAATGTTTGCACATTTGTCAATAGTAGAAAACGTTCTCTAGTTGTGAATATGTTTTCAGAAACATAACATGGCTATTGCGCAATACAACACATGCTTTTTTCATCATAATATTGAACCTCATCTGAAATATGGAAGATATATTGATAATTGGCGATCATATTGGATTATGCAAATTAGACATATTTCATAAACTAGGATTGCTTGTGACTTTTAGTATGTTGTTCTTGAGACCTTGTAGAAATGCATTGTGGTAAAATAAATTCGGTTGCAATTTGTTCCAAGTTGAGTAAAAAAATGGCCTAGATTGCCAGGACTATAAAGGGGAATCCCCTCAGAGGCGGAATTTGTTCTTTGGGGACGATTTCGCCTGTCGTTTTTATCGACCGTTTTATCTATTTCCCATTTTCAAATTTATTTTTTGTCAAGCATTTCTGATTAAGAATGCCCTAAAGTAATAAATTCTGCAAAGTTCCCATGTTGAGTTTACTTGATCTTTAAACATAGACAGTTTCAAGATATACACGAAATACATAAATAATTACACTAAAATACAACATATAGACTTGAGACTTCATTCTTTATGTCCATAATAATAATAGTAGTTTTCTCTAACGAGCCAAGGATGTGGGGCATAATTTCAATGTCAGTGTTAATTCTGTTCATGGTTCTGTACTGTTGGACGGTACAGAAATGAGTATCAACCAGGCGAAGTGCCATGTCGAATCGGCCCAGAGAGAGGCCATGCTTCTGAACGACCACTGCATCGAGTTTATGTGCAGTGTGTTGAGAAGATCAGCAATCCTGCAGAGTCATTTGCTTGGATGAAGTCGGCTGGCCTGAAAGCTAAACAGAAGGCTTCTGTTTGCTGGTCAAGGCCAGTCACTTCCCACTCGAAACCGTCAATGTGTGATTTTGCATCAACATGTAAATATGAAATGTAGCTTATGCAATGAATTTAATGAGACTGTCCAACACATTGTCAGTGGATGCCCAGCTTTAGCACAGACACGGTATCTTAAGCGACATGATGGTGTAGCTCGGTCATCGTATTACCGTCTTCGCCATGCTTGTGGTTTTGACACTGAGGTCCATCCATGGTACGACCCAGAATATGTAGAGGGCGTCATGGAAAATGATAAATACAAAATTCTTTGGAATATGCCCGTTTACAGTCTCAGACGTATCCAGGCCAACATGCCGGATCTTGTCCTTTTTGATAAATCCAATGAAATCATTTAAATCATTAAATTTTCTGTCCCTATTGACAGTAATGTGATTGACAAGATTCAGGGAAAAACGGCAAATATTCAGACCTCGCTTTCGAAATATCACGCTTGCATCCCATGTACCAAGTTGTCCGACTCCCCATTGTTCTCGTTGCCTTAGTTTTGGTACCTCCCAATCTGCTGACTGACATTGGGAGAGTACCCGGGTTTGCTACCAGGAATATAGCCCTTCTGACAATCTGGGTAATGCAGAAGGCTGCAGTGTTGGGGACTCTTCACATACTCCGAAAAGTTCCGGGAAGGGTTTGACAAGGCAGCGGTTCCTAGGAGAAGTCCCATTCGCTGTCTAGGCTGCGTGTAGAGTGGACAAGGGCCCTGAACTGATGATGAGCCTAACAAGCCTGACTGTGCCAGGATCACCCAAACCCTCTTTGCTGCATTTTTTAAAATTTTAATCTGTAAATGGTAATAATTATAATGTATCGTCTGTGCTTGGCGATTTCTGGAAACAACGATTTTTCTTTGTAAGAAATATGTCTAAATATTATTACCCTTCATGACTAAATATTATTACCCTGCATGACCAATTTCGATGGTGTTAAGAAATATGATGCAAAAACTAATCACACAATTTGTAACAGATGAACATATAAATGTCCTGACAGTTTATGTTTGTGAGAAATATGTTTAATATTATTACCCAGCATTATCATTTTCTATGGCATTAAGAGATATGATGCTAATATTATTCATCTGCCCATACGCAATTTCCAATTAATATGTAACTGGCATGTCACCTACGAATGTTTATTATGCCTAAGTATCTCACCGAGCGAGTCCAATTTATGGGAAGGGTTTGACAAGGCAGCGGTTCCTGGGCGAAGTCCCATTCGCTGTCTAGGCTGCGTGTAGAATGGACAGGGCCCTGAGCTGATGATGAGCCTAACAAGCCTGACTGTGCCAGGATCACCCAAACCCTCTTTGCTGCATTTTTTTAAATTTTAATCTGTAAATGGTAATAATTATAATGTATCGTCTGTGCTTGGCGATTTCTGGAAACAACGGGTTTTTTTTGTAAGAAATATGTCTAAATATTATTACCCTTCATGACTAAATATTATTACCCTGCATGACCAATTTCGATGGTGTTAAGAAATATGATGCAAAAACTAATCACAATTTGTAACAGATGAACAGATAAATGTCCTGACAGTTTATGTTTGTGAGAAATATGTTCAATATTATTACCCAGCATTATCATTTTCTATGGCATTAAGAGATATGATGCTAATATTATTCATCTGCCCATACGCAATTTCCAATAAATATTTAACTGGCATGTCACCTGCGAATGTTAATTATGCCTAAGTATCTCACCGAGCGAGTCCAATTTCATTTTTCACCAGTTTCAGTGGTATTGTCATGACGTCATACAAAGAATAATAGCATGACAAAGTATAGAATATCCGACCTGTGAAGATCGAGGTTACAATCGGTCTTCAGCGACCCATGCTTCCGTAAAAAGTGACTATACTTGTCGTGAGAGGCGACTAACGGGATCGGGTGATCAGACTCGCGGACTTGGTTGATGCATGTCATCGTATTCCAATTGAGTGGATCGATGCTCATGATGCCATTCACCAGATTGGCTGATCCGGACTCGATGATTTACAGACCGCCGTCATATAGCTGGAATATTGCTGAGCGCGGAGTTTAATAACAAACAAACAAAGCATTTTCAAACCATAATTAATTTAGCCAAACGCTACATGATATCTTCAGGCAAACAGAATCACTATATCAACGGCCAGGATGGGCCTCGTTGGCCCAGTTGGCTTAGGTACTACGATGGAACCTATAGCTTCTGACCTCTGATCAGCGATGGTTCGACACCCAGCTCCAGCTACATGGGAAGGGCTGTCGAAAGTCGGTGGTTCAGCCCGGGCTCTACTGTTTTCTCCGCCTATCAACACAGGCCACTGTCATATACGTGAAATATTCCAAACAGCTGCGTAGAGCAATAATAAAAATAATAATGGTTGAGGTATCTTAATATACTTACATCTAATCCCCTTAGTATCCCCCGCCCAACAAAGTTGGCGGGGGATATAGAAACGGGCCCCGTCCGTCCGTCCGTCCGTCCGTCACGTTTTGTTTCCGGAGCATAACTCATAAACCGTTCAATATTTTTTCATCAAACTTTGCAGGTCTGTCAGGTACAAGCTGAACTGGTGCCTTTTGCTATTTAGAAATTTTAGATATTTTACATGGCAACAAGATGGATTAAGGTTCTGTCAGGGTAGGGTTTGTTTCCGGAGCATAACTCATAAACCGTTTTCCATGACAAGTTCCACCACGGTTAGAAAAGGTTAGGGTTTGTTTAGATTTAATTATGTCATAAGTTCTGCAACAGGGGCAGGGGATATAGCCACGTTAGTGGCAAACTCTTGTTTGTCAGGCTGTGTCAACTGCACAAGACATTCCACTAAAACAATCAGTTTGCAAACTGACAGCATGTCATTTTTTCCCCCAAGGGATACTAGTATAACTCTCGTCCAAACTCTTTAACACTTAACCAAAAGCTCGATCAACATTACAAGGGGGGTGGGCCGAAAACTAGTCCATATTTTCATAAAACATCGAGCTACCTTGAACCGACAAGAAGGTTATGTTAACAGTCGGATACACCACCTAGCATACGGGAAACCCATTAACCGTTATTCTGATTTCATCTGTCTTTTTATATTTGTTTGAAGGGATAAAGGTGCGTCTTGTTATGGTAGTCGTATGTATTTGCCTTGAAGTCATAACTCACAGTGAACTACGGTTTAAACGAACTCAAGGGGCCACGAATTTTAGTTCGTTATAACCGTAGTTCGTTATGAGCATACATACAGCATGTCAACAGAAACTATACAGCAAATGGACGGGATCAAAACTCATTTCGCTAGATCCGCCAGTTCGTTATAAGCATGTTCGTCATAAAAGTAGTTTACTGTATGGATGATGAAAGCAGGGGTCCTAGCTAAAACGGCTCCGGGATACATTTAGATTCGTTATGAACACGGCCACGTCAGCTTCAGCTAAATGTACCAGGAGACGCCGTAGCATGTATGTAGTACGAGGTAGACCTTGATATAAATACCATGATAAGAGGGTTGCCACAAACATATGTGTTTTGATAAATAATAAATTTGTGTTCTAGATAATGGTGATGGAATGTTTAAACATTATTTTAAAGCAAAAACATTGACCACAAGGCATTAGACCAACATATGTACATTTCTCCCACTTTGAAAATGACAGATTTGGTGGTAGGTCTGTTTTGGTTTGGAAAAGAATAAACATGTGAATATGTTCATTTGTAATCTTTTCTAACTATTCGGATGCCATTTCAAGGATGTACAACTTTTGAACACGAATAACATATTGGCTTTGTAAAAGTTAATTAAAAAATATGCCAGTGGCCCTGTACTATTGTGATGAATATACAGCACTGATGGGGTCGTAAACCACATCTTCAGCAACCCGTGCTTGTCATAAGAGGCGACTATGCCTGTCGTTATAGGCGACTAACGGGATCGGGTGGTCAGGCTCGCTGACTTGGTCGATGCATGTCATCGTATCCCCATATGCGTGGATCGATGCTCATGATGTGAATCACTGGATTGTCTGGTCCAGACTCGATTATTTACATACCGCCGTCATTTATGTAGAGCATTTATGTTCAAGCTCGACTTCACTTCAACACTGATTCTAAAGGACATGTTCCTCCGTTCCGCAAAGGCCCCGTGGTCTTCGTGTCTACCAATGACCATTATCTCACTTACCTTCTCTTGTGGCAATCCGTGATTTTTAATGTATAGAAACCCGACTGTGCTCAATGCGTGGTAGACGTTGGCTGCAAGTGTTTCTAAATCCGAATCCGCCACTGATTCCTTGTTTGTTATTTGCAAACCATAGGCAGAGAAATCTATTATCGGCACTGTATCTTCCATTATGTCAGTCACTTGTGAAAAGCAGGCAGTACTGAGCCTATATCTAACGCTGAGACTTATATACCAATGCGTGTGGTTATGTTGTATTAATGCTGTGGCTTGTTATTGCTGGAGCTGGGAGGTATAAAAATGTATGCCACCATTCCATCTGTTGCACGGCATCTGGCACCAAGGTAAGGGCCAATTGTGTCATTATTTAAGAAATAAATAGCGATTGGGAGTTTTGTATCGTACAATAAAACACTGCAGGGAGAATACACCACGAGGGGCGCTTGATATTGCTATCTCATACAAGAAATAAACGACTCGCGGTCGTTGTTTATCGTACAATAAAACACTGCATGGAGAATAAGGCACGTGGGTCGATATGAAAGGGACCCAACAGATGATTGGCGCTGATAGATGATACCAGACAATGGGAGCCAACACTTAATTTATTATAGATAAGTTATTGGTAATTGGCACTGGGCAAACGCGGGTGGGGTGGGGTGGGGGGTGGGGGGGTGGGGTTACTTAGCACTGATAGATGAAAGAATGGACATAGCAAGGGGGAAAATTGAAGCCAGCTAGGTAATTAGCCCCGACTAAGCAATAAGTCCCAATCACTAGGCAGATAGTGCCTGGTCACGGTTCATGACTGGCTGATGTCTCCTGCTGTCAATGGCTTCTTGTAGTTGTCTTTGTCGCCAGTTGTTGTTGTTGGTAGACAGGCCTTTGGCGGCTTCCCACATGATGTTATGGTTTTCGTTCTTCAGGATATGTTCGGAAATAGCGGATTTTAGGTCGAGTTTGTTAACAGAGGTCCGATGTTATTTGAGTCTTGTGTTGAGGCGTCTAAGGGTATCGATCACCAATGTTCTGGTGGCCACAGTTGAAGGGTATCTGGTATATACATCCTCGGGGGTTGGGACTTGCGGTGCTTGTGTCTCTGCCATTGGCTTGTAGATGGGTCTTGATGGACTTGCCGCTAGAGAAGGTGACATCTATGTAGGCTTTGTTCTTGATAAAGCGGGAATCTGATGAGTGACAGGGCCTTGGTAGGGTATGGTGACTCTGATGGGCGAAGGAGCTGGTTTGGGCCTGGGGTTGGAGTCCTTGAGGGTCTTGCGGATGGTTTTGGAGACTAGGTGGGCAGATATAGCTGTTGAGGGAGGTGAATGTTTCCTTGAGATGGTCCAGTTCACTGCTTAGGGCATCAGGGTGACAAATGGATTTGGCACGTCGGGTGAGGGTGGCGATGATGGCTTGTTTTATCTGGAGATGGTGGCAGGAGTTGTAGTGGATGTACTGGTTTGTGTGTGTGGGCTTGGAGTACACTGATGTTCTTAGTGCATCATCTGTGGTTTGGGGGAACACGTCTAGGAAAGGAAGATGTTGATTAGTGTCGGTTTCCATGGTGAACTGGATTCTCTGGTGCTGGGCGTTGAGATGTTTAAGGAGCTCTGTGGGGTCGTTCTGGTGGGCTATGGTGGTGAATGTGGGGATGGAATGGTGCTGTGGAGAGGGGTGATTCTTCGAATGATGTCGTGGAGATTTCAGTGATGAGAGGAGATAGAGGGGAGCCGATAGGTCCTCCTGATGTGTATCACTTCTAAATGCCTTTCAAAGACGTAAGTATTTATTGTCTGAAGCCAAACAGCTGCACTCTGGTCAAGCGACGAAGACCTGGAAACAAACCATCTCCACTGGCCACGTGATGAGAATGTAGCAGCCACTTTCACAGCACACGTGATCAGTATGTAGGAGCCACTTTCACAGCCAACGTGATCAGTATGTAGTGGCCACTTTCACAGCCCACGTGATCAGTATGTAGAAGCCACTTTCACAGCCCACATGGTCAGTATGTAGCATCCACTTTCACAGCCCACTTGATCAGTATGTAGAAGCCACTTTCACAGCCCACGTGATCAGTATGTAGCAGCCACTTTCACAGCACACGTGATCAGTATGTAGAAGCCACTTTCACAGCCCACGTGATCAGTATGTAGTGGCCACTTTCACAGCCCACGTGATCAGTATGTAGTGGCCACTTTCACATGATCAGTATGTAGCAGCCACTTTCACATGATCAGTATGTAGCAGCCACTTTCACAGCCCACGTGATCAGTATGTAGTGGCCGCTTTAACAGCCCACGTAATCAGTATGTAGAAGCCACTTTCACAGCCCACGTGATCAGTATGTAGTGGCCACTTTCACAGCCCACGTGATCAGTATGTAGGAGCCACTTTCACAGCACACGTGATCAGTATGTAGGAGTCACTACCACAGCCCATGTCATCAGTATGTAGGAGCCACTTTCACAGCCCACGTGATCAGTATGTAGGAGCCACTTTCACAGCCCACGTGATCAGTATGTAGAAGCCACTTTCACAACCCACGTGATCATATGTAGGAGTCACTACCACAGCCCACGTGATCAGTATGTAGCAGCCACTTTCACGGCCCACGTGATCAGTATGTAGAAGCCACTTTAACAGCCCACGTGATCAGTATGTAGGAGCCACTTTCACAGCCCACGTGTTCAGTATGTAGCAGGCACTTTCACAGCCCACGTGATCAGTATGTACGAGCCACTTTCACAGCCCACGTGATCAGTATGTAGGAGCCGCTTTAACAGCCCACGTGATCAGTATGCAGGAGCCACTTTAACAGCCCACGTGATCAGTATGTAGTGGCCACTTTCACAGCCCACGTGATCAGTATGTAGGAGCCGCTTTAACAGCCCACGTGATCAGGATGTAGGAGCCACTTTCACAGCCAACGTGATAAGTATATGGGAGCCGCTTTAACAGCCCACGTGATCAGTATGTAGGAGCCACTTTCACAGCCCACGTGATCAGTATGTAGGAGCCACTTTCACAGCACACGTGATCAGTATGTAGGAGTCACTACCACAGCCCATGTCATCAGTATGTAGGAGCCACTTTCACAGCCCACGTGATCAGTATGTAGGAGCCACTTTCACAGCCCACGTGATCAGTATGTAGAAGCCACTTTCACAACCCACGTGATCATATGTAGGAGTCACTACCACAGCCCACGTGATCAGTATGTAGCAGCCACTTTCACGTCCCACGTGATCAGTATGTAGAAGCCACTTTAACAGCCCACGTGATCAGTATGTAGGAGCCACTTTCACAGCCCACGTGTTCAGTATCTAGCAGCCACTTTCACAGCCCACGTGATCAGTATGTAGGAGCCACTTTCACAGCCCACGTGATCAGTATGTAGGAGCCGCTTTAACAGCCCACGTGATCAGTATGCAGGAGCCACTTTAACAGCCCACGTGATCAGTATGTAGTGGCCACTTTCACAGCCCACGTGATCAGTATGTAGGAGCCGCTTTAACAGCCCACGTGATCAGTATGTAGGAGCCGCTTTCACAGCCCACGTGATCAGTATGTAGTGGCCACTTTCACATGATCAGTATGTAGCAGCCACTTTCACATGATCAGTATGTAGCAGCCACTTTCACAGCCCACGTGATCAGTATGTAGTGGCCGCTTTAACAGCCCACGTGATCAGTATGTAGGAGCCACTTTCACAGCCCACATGATCAGTATGTAGAAGCCACTTTCACAGCCCACGTGATCAGTATGTAGAAGCCACTTTCACAACCCACGTGATCATATGTAGGAGTCACTACCACAGCCCATGTGATCAGTATGTAGGAGCCACTTTCACAGCCCACGTGATCATATGTAGGAGTCACTACCACAGCCCATGTGATCAGTATGTAGAAGCCACTTTCACAGCCCACGTGATCATATGTAGGAGTCACTACCACAGCCCACGTGATCAGTATGTAGGAGCCGCTTTAACAGCCCACGTGATCAGTATGTAGGAGCCACTTTCACAGCCCACGTGATCAGTATGTAGAAGCCACTTTCACAGCCCACGTGATCAGTATGTAGAAGCCACTTTCACAACCCACGTGATCATATGTAGGAGTCACTACCACAGCCCATGTGATCAGTATGTAGGAGCCACTTTCACAGCCCACATGATCAGTATGTAGGAGCCACTTTCACAGCCCACGTGTTCAGTATGTAGCAGCCACTTTCACAGCCCACGTGATCAGTATGTAGGAGCCACTTTCACAGCCAACGTGATCAGTATGTAGTGGCCACTTTCACAGCCCACGTGATCAGTATGTAGAAGCCACTTTCACAGCCCACATGGTCAGTATGTAGCATCCACTTTCACAGCCCACTTGATCAGTATGTAGAAGCCACTTTCACAGCCCACGTGATCAGTATGTAGCAGCCACTTTCACAGCCCACGTGATCAGTATGTAGAAGCCACTTTCACAGCCCACGTGATCAGTATGTAGTGGCCACTTTCACAGCCCACGTGATCAGTATGTAGTGGCCACTTTCACATGATCAGTATGTAGCAGCCACTTTCACATGATCAGTATGTAGCAGCCACTTTCACAGCCCACGTGATCAGTATGTAGTGGCCGCTTTAACAGCCCACGTGATCAGTATGTAGGAGCCACTTTCACAGCCCACATGATCAGTATGTAGGAGCCACTTTCACAGCCCACGTGTTCAGTATGTAGCAGCCACTTTCACAGCCCACGTGATCAGTATGTAGAAGCCACTTTCACAGCCCACGTGATCAGTATGTAGTGGCCACTTTCACAGCCCACATGATCAGTATGTAGCAGCCACTTTAACAGCCCACGTGATCAGTATGTAGGGGCCACTTTCACAGCCAACGTGATCAGTATGTAGTGGCCACTTTCACAGCCCACGTGATCAGTATGTAGAAGCCACTTTCACAGCCCACATGGTCAGTATGTAGCATCCACTTTCACAGCCCACTTGATCAGTATGTAGAAGCCACTTTCACAGCCCACGTGATCAGTATGTAGCAGCCACTTTCACAGCCCACGTGATCAGTATGTAGGAGCCACTTTCACAGCCCACGTGATCAGTATGTAGTGGCCACTTTCACAGCCCACGTGATCAGTATGTAGTGGCCACTTTCACAT